CTAGCACGACCAACACCGACCCATTGCGAATCATTGACATGGGGGACAATAAAAAGGCGGCAGCGGAGATTGAAGACCTACTTGCGGATGGTGCGATCGTCATCGGAAGGGAGATTGAAGGAGATACCGTGCAACAAGGAGCGGATGATAGTGCAGCAGCAGAAAAAGGTGGAGCTGACAATCAGAATGAGCAGATGGGCAAAGGGAAACGGGTCAAGAAACCCAATCCCAAGTATGCCCAAATGCTTCTGACCTGCTGCAAAGACACCCACACTCACCTCCTCCTCACCACCACGGCAATGGCATTACTCTCAAAAGGGAAGGTGGAAAGCTACAAGCTGCCCACCGAGCCTCTCACAATTGAAGAGGCGTTGTCTGGGCCCAACAAAGAGGAATGGAGGGCTGCAATCAGAGAGGAACTTGATACCTTGGCTGAAAGGGGGACATGGGAGCTTGTGAACATGCCCAAAGGGAGGAAACTAGTGGGGGTGCGCTGCATTTTCAAGATCAAAACGGGAGACATGGGTCAATTTGAGCGGTTCAAGGCACGACTCGTCGCTAAAGGCTACACTCAGGTGGAAGGAGAGGACTTTGACCAAAACTACGCACCCGTGAGCAAGTTAACAACGGCAATGACCATGCTGAAGGTGGTGACGGCACGTGGCTACTTCATGGTGCAGCTGGACATAAAAAATGCCTTTCTCTATGGCATTTTGAAGGAGACTATCTACATGAATCAGCCACCGGGGTGTGAGGTCGGCACGGACAGAAAGTGCAAGCTCAGGTGTGAGGACGGCACGGACAGAAAGTGCAAGCTCATAAAATTACTTTATGGGTTGAAACAGAGCCCACGGGAGTGGTACATAGCCATGGATGCTCGGCTGGAAAAAGGAGGGTTTATCAAGAGCCAATGTGACTGTGCATTCTACTGGAAGGGAGAAGGGGAGACCAAGGTGTTCCTACCCCTCTACGTGGATGCTATCCTAGTGACTGGAGCAAAGGAGGAGAAGGTGGAGGAGGTGTGCACTCACATCGTAGCTGTATTTCAGGTGAAGAAGATTCCAAGGACCACTCTCTTCCTTGGAATGAACCTGGAGAGGAATAGGGAGGAAAAGAAGTTGCTACTATACCAAAAGAAGCAATTTCAGAGGTTGCAGGAAAGGTTTGGAGGGCAATGCAAGACCAAACCAGTGACAACACCTCTCAGCAGCCTTGCGGACAAGGAGGTCAATGTGGGAGCAGAAATTGAGGCATGGGGCAGCAAGGAGAGAGAGCGTTGAAAGCATGCCAATCCATGTTAGGCTCAGTCATGTACCCGGTGTCATGCACACGGGTTGATGTGGCCTATGCTGCAAGCTTTCTTGGACGTAAAGTGTTGCAGCCCGAGGGACGCAAGTGGAAGGAAATGGAGAGAACCATCACTTACCTCCTGCAGCGGGATGATGAGGGGCTGCTGTTTGAAGGAGGAGAGGAGATTCTAGAGCTTGTGGGGTATGCTGACGCCTCACATGCTTCGGACAACAAGACCGGGAGGGGAGCCTATGGCTATGTCTACCTCCTTGGTGGTACCGCAATCATGTGGCAAGGCAAGAAATTCACCGATCTGGCTCTGTCCAGCGCGGAAGCTGAATACATGGCACTATTTTATGCATTCCAAGAGGGCGTGTGGCTGAGACGCCTACTTCAAGAGATGGGAGTCGAAGTGGAAGGGCCTACAACTATCAAATCTGACAGCAAATCTGCAAATGACCTCGCACGAAACGACAATTGGCATGGGCGCACGAAACACATGAATGTAAGGTACCATTGGGTACGGGAGCAGCTACAGAAGAAGGCATTCGCCTTCGTGCACGTGGGAACTCAGGAGCAGCCAGCGGATTTCCTGACTAAGGTGCCGCCAAAAGCAAACTTCGAGTATTGCAAGTATTTTGTTGGCATGCGCACCTTCAAGGAATTGCAGGGGAGCATCGGAGCAGCAACACGGGATGGCACACCACCTGAAGGAAGGGAAAGGCAGGGCAGGAACAATGCTGGTGTCATGGTAACCACAAGAGCATAGGAGGTGGCAGCTGGCAAACCACAGGGGAGATTGTTAGGGTGGTTCGCCGCTGCTCTAGTGTCCACCGGCCTACGCGCTTGACCTAGGGACGGTAGAAAAACACTAGGAACGGTGGGAAACCGTCGACCTAATGTGGGAAATCTACAGCTAGAACGGTGGGACAGAATCCTAAGGAACTATGGGAGGAAAACGTGAGGAAAGGAAGGAAAAACGGAAGGACAGAAGACTAGGGTTCGGAAAATGTCGAGAAGAAAATTATGAAGCCTAAATGTCCAACCAACCGTGTTCGGTGCGGATGAGACAACTAGGGTTCGGTTCCGGTGACAGTTACCGAATTCGGTTACGTGTGCGACTCGGGCTGAAATGCGGATGACGCGTTACACGAGGCGCACACCACATTTCGAAACGCTTACATGTGTTTGTTTTTCAATCACTTTGTGTGTACTTCTCTGTTTTGAGTTTGGAAAACCAGAAATCTCTCCAAGCATCTACTATCTTCAACGCTAGCCAGATGCTATATCTAAACTAAGACCGTCCGGGCTGCGATCCCGTCCGAGACTTCCTGTCGCGCCCACCCGTTCGCGTCTTCCTGTCCGAGATTCCTTCCCGTCGCTTTTTTCCCGGCCAGGCCTTTCCGTCCCTTTACAATTTCGCGCACCTACTTAGCAACACGCGGATTCGTCACGTTTCAGCTGCTGTGCCTTACTTCCCGGCTTTCCCTCAACTCGTTTCGGTTTACACTACTAATGAGTGTTGTCGAAACAGAATCTCAGGCCATAGTGTCGCTACTCCTATGTTACGATGGCCGTCACTGCTACTGTTTCTTGACCTCAACAGCAGATGAGCGAGTCAGCGTTTGTTGTCTGCTAACAACGGAACGTTCTTCCCTCCCAGACTCTAGACTGGAACGTTCTAGGATCGGCCTAATATGTTTGCGATTTGTAATTGCCAAAAATGGCACCATATGGGCACCATGTGTGCACGTCCTAGTGTTGCCTAAACCTGGTGAACGTGACTCTACGTGCTCGTCCCCAAGCCTTGCGTCAAGTAGGTAAGTGACTGGTTTTGCATGTCGAGTCCGTTTTGAGGTTGTTAAAGTCCGTGTATAAGTAGGCTGGGTGCTGCACTTCGGGAGCTTGCGTGGTGTGACCTGCTTGATGAGGCGCCTGAAATTTTGTTTGTCGTTTATTCTTCCTCAAGATTCTTGAAGTTGAAAAGGATACGATGCGAAACGCTGTGGGGCATTATACTTTCGCTACCTGTTTCATGCGAATTCTGCTCTACTCACCCTTCACTAAACCAGTTTCAAGTTCAGTATTTTTGAGGCCTTACCATTCTAGACTCGGGCTTTAAGTAGAGCAAACAGTAATTTAGAATAACTATATACTAGGTGAATCTGGTTAAACAATTAGTGGGGCGACACTGTAACCTTAATGATGGAATGTATCATAGCGCGTATTCTGTCACATGAACAGTTGCGGCTGATCCAACGCTGACGCGCCATGTTAGCATCTAAATCCACCGCCTAGCAACTCTCGTTCCTGGGTCCATACTTCAGCGCACCTTCCGTTTTCGCCCTTTACTATACACGAACCTCGGAGGAAGAACCTCGCACGGCCTCCGTTTTTAGGATCTTTGCAGAGCTGAAAACGGCGGCGTGCTTTCCAGGTGTGCGAATGCGGCCCTGTAGCATGTCCCCATCCTCCGTCGCTCGTCGCTGTAGCATGCTCGCATTCGAATGCTACAGTTCTCTCCTCCGTCCTTCTCTGCTGTTTCCGCTGTTTCCGCCGCGATTGCCTCGTTTCCCGTTAAACGCGTTTGAGAATCCTCAAAAGCCGTATGACCATTGATTTACGGAATTGACTATTAACTCAACGGTGGGCGATTCCTGCGCCCCTCGCTCCCCTCGCTCCTCTCGCTGCACCCATCCGCTGCGCCCATCCGCTGCGCCCATCCGCTGTGCCCATCCGCTGCGCCCATCCGCTGCGCCCATCCGCTGCGCCCATCCCCTGCACCCATCCGCTGCACCCATCCGCTGCGCCCATCCGCTGCGCCCATCCGCTGCGCCCATCCGCTGAGCCCATCCGCTGCCCCTTCCCCACCCTCGTACCTCTTCTCCCCCCTCGCACCTCTTCTCCCCCCTCCTGTCACCATCCTTTGCCCCAATCCCCAGCCACGTCTGCAACTCGTCCCGCACCCCTTGCTCTCGCCTTCCCTCCCCATCCTCCCTCCCCATTCACCCTTCTCCCCCTCCTCCCTGCTGAGCTAGCCTCCCATCCGCCATATCCCGTGTTCCTAACCCATTCCCCTCCACTGTCCGCCACATGCCGTGCGACTGCCTCGAACATTTCCACCTTTTCCATGCGAATCACATTTCATCATCGCATGCGAAGCTGGCACGTGTGATCCATACCGTACCCACATGCGAAGCTGACACGTGTGATCCATACCGTACCCACATGCGAAGCTGACACGTGTGATCCATACCGTACCCACATGCGAAGCTGGCACGTGTGATCCATACCGTACCCACATGCGAAGCTGACACGTGTGATCTATACCGTACCCACATGCGAAGCTGTATCATCAGGGATACTCCCACCCACCCACCCACCCGACCATCCCTGCCTCCCCATCCCTGCCCCCCCATACCTGCCCCCCCATCCGCCCACCCATCCCTGCCCCCCATCCCTGCCCCCCATCCCTGCCTCCCCATCCCTACCTGGCAGACAACACTGTCACAATAGGCCGGCTTACATCACACGGGGTGATATTCATCCTTTTCGCTCCATACCTCTCCTCTCCTCCCCTCTCCACCCTTCTCCCCTCTCTCCATCCCTCTCCATCCCTCTCCATCCCTCTCCACCCTTCTCCCCTCTCTCCATCCCTCTCCATCCCTCTCCATCCCTGCATTTCTTCCTCGTGTCCCTCTTCACCACAGACAGCACCCGTGCCAATGGGGCGGCTAACAGGGGGAGGGCGGTACGTGAAGGGCGTAACTCTTGGCAAGGGAACGTTCGGAGTCGTGTTCAAGGCATACGACACTCATGTGAGACCTGGGTGCTCATTTAGGCTTTAAGGGGGTGGTACTTGGGAAGGAAGCGTCGTTTTCAAAGACATAAGACACCCATGTGATGTGAGCCAATGAATGAACAATCGTCGTTGGGTGGGGGGGGGCAATGGTCTGCTCCGTTTCATCTTCCTCCTCCACATCCGTTTCATCGCCACAACGATATTTGAGACGCATCAGAACTCCGTTCGTCAAAATCACTTGTCACTTTTCACAAGGTCAAAGGGAGTTTATTTATGACGCTGTGATTCGAAGCACCTCCAGCCAGGCCCAGGACACATGAAACACAATGCAACAGCATCATTCAATACGACACAAGCCAGGCAGGTGAAGCCTTTTACGCCAGTTTCCTTACCTGGAGGGCTGCTGGGCGGGTGCAAGGTGAACGGGACAGGCCTATAAGTTTACTTAATAAACGTTGAAGTAGTTCAAAATTTCTGAAGTTTTTCTAAGTTCATTGAGGAAGGCTGACCTGCTGAGTCTCCTCCTCTCCCCCTGTTGTGTTGTTCCTTCCCTTGTGCCGTGTAATTGCCTCCCATGCTTGTCACTTCTGTGGCAGACGGGTAAGACAGGGGCAATAAAGAAGATCCATTTGGGCGACTGCAAGGAGGGCGATGAGAGAGTTGAAGCCGCTGCACTCCCCGTCCTCCCATCTCCCCATCCCCCCCTTCCCTTGTGTGGCAGACGGGCAAGACAGTGGCGATAAAGAAGATTCATGTGGGCGACTGCAAGGAGGGCGTGAATGTGACATACGGCTCTGATCTGAGGGAGATCAAGCTGCTGCACTGCACTCCCCTTCTTCCCCCTCCCCTGCCTATTCCGTTCCTCACTCCTCCCCATGTTTCCCCACCTTCCACCTTTCCCACGTATTGCACACTGGCAAGACGGTTGCAATAAAGAAGATTCATCTGGGCGACTGCAAGGAGGGCGTGAATGTGACAGCTGCTGCACTCCCTTTCTTCCCACTTCCCCTGCCTGTTCCTCCCCTTCCCTTGTGTGGCAGACGGGCAGGACAGTGGCGATAAAGAAGATTCATCTGGGCGACTGCAAGGAGGGCGTGAACGTGACGGCTCTGAGGGAGATCAAGCTGCTGCAGGAGCTGCACCACCCACACATCATTGATCTCATCGACATCTACCCTCACAAGAGGAATCTCAACCTCGTTCTTGAGTTCATGGAGACGGACTTAGAAGTGAGTGCTCTGAGCCTTTTGAGGGGGGGGGGGGGGGGAGGACATTCATATACTGCTCCTCCTCCTCCTCCCCCCTGTCCTACATCTCTCTCTCTCTTCTTCCATGCTGCCTGCCCTTCATCCCCCAACCCGCTCAGAACATCATCAAAAGTCGTTCGCTGCACCTTTTCCCAGGGGACACCAAGGCGTTCATGCGCATGACCCTCCCTTCTCTCCTCCTCCTCGTCCCCCTGTCCCACCTCCCTTTCTTCTTCCGTGCTGCCCCACCCCAACCCCTTCAGAACATCATCAAGGATCGATCGCTGCACCTGTCACCAGCAGACATCAAGGCGTTCATGTATGATTCTCCCTCATCACCCCCCCCCCCCCCCTTCCCCCCCATCGCCTCTCCCTTCCGCCCGCCTTCCTCTCCCATTTCTCGATCCCCCTTCCCCCTCTTGCGTCAGAACATCATCAAGGATCGGTCGCTGCACCTGTCCCCAACTGACACTGATGATGATTTTTGTGGTGATGCTTAGTCTGACAACACTTCGTCTCAAGAGTCTGATGGGAGACTCCGTCTCAAGAGTCTGATGGGAGACTCCGTCTCAAGAGTCTGATGGGAGACTCCGTCTCAAGAGTCTGATGGGAGACTCCGTCTCAAGAGTCTGATGGGAGACTCCGTCTCAAGAGTCTGATGGGAGACTCCGTCTCAAGAGTCTGATGGTGGCTTTCTTCCCACTCCCCATGCATTCTCGCAGGGACATGAAGCCCAACGACATCCTCATAGCCCCCAACAGCCCACCTCAAGAGTGCTGATTCCAGCCCAAACTGTCTCCCTCCACTCTCCAGTTCCCCTTCTCCCTGCACCAACTTATCCTGTCCCCTCCCACCCACTCCCCATGCATTCTCGCAGGGACATGAAGCCCAACAACATCCTCACAGCCCCCAACACGCCACCTCAGTAATTATGTGACCCCGTCCCCATTGTCCCCAATCCCCACCCACACCCACCCCAACCCCTCTTCACACCTCCCCACCTCCGCATCTCCCCGCAGGGACATGAAGCGCAACAATCTCCTCATCGGCCCAACAGGGGAGCTCAAGATCGCTGAATTCATCCCTTCTCCTTCCCCCCCTCTTCCTGTCCCCTGTGCAACCATCCCCCTTTCCACTTCCCCACCACCCCCCACCCCCACCGGGACATGAAGCCCCACAATCTCCTCATCGGCCCAACAGGGGAGCTCAAGATTGCTGATTTCAATCAACCCGCTTATCCCTTCCCCTCCCACTCCCCCTTGTCCCCTCCCACACCTCCCCACCCCACAGGGACATGAAGCCCAACAATCTCCTCTTCGGCCCAACAGACCGTCTCAAGATTGCTGATGTAAACCTGCTTATCCCTTCCCCTTTTCCTACGCATTTATACCCCACACCTTCCACCCTTTTCCACACCGTCCCAATCCACCCCCGCAGGGACATGAAGCCCAACAATCTCCTCATCGGCCCCACAGGGGAGCTCAAGATCGCTGATTTCGGCTTTGCTCGCCTCTTTGGCAGCCCCGACCGCAAGCTCACACACCAGGTGTTTGCGCTGTGGACTGGACACCTGAGCTGCCCCTTCTCCCCAACCCCTTCTCACCGTTCCCCACGCCTTCCCACCTACTCCGTACCTACTCCCCACCTCCCCACCACCCCCGCAGGGACATGAAGCCCAACAATCTTCTCATAGGCCCAACAGGGGAGCTCAAGATAGCGGATTTCGGCTTTGCTCGCCTCTTCGGCAGCCCCGACCGCAAGCTCACCCACCAGGTGTTTGCGCTGTGGTATCGCGCCCCTGAGCTGCTGTTCGGCAGCAAGGCATACGGGTCAGGCGTGGACGTGTGGGGCGCTGGCTGCGTGTTTGCAGAGCTGCTGCTGCGACGGCCATTCTTACAGGTGTGCCATACTCTTCTCTTCTCCTAGAAGCAGGTTCATCCAGAGCTAGTAAGCAAGCTGAGCTGACCCACCTACCTGGTGTTTGCAGTGTGGTACCAGAATCCTTTTGAGGCGCTTCTTGAGGCGCCTTTTGAGGCACATCAAAAGTGGTACTACAACCCCCCTCCTTCTGCCTGAGCTGACCTGCTCTCCCTTCCCCACTTCCCCTCGCATCTTCCCCTCCCCTCTCCCGCTCCCTCCTCCCCCACTCCTTTCAGGGATCGAGCGACATCGACCAATTGGGGAAGATTTTCGCTGCCCTGGGCACGCCGCGGGAGGACCAATGGCCGGACATGCAGTGCCTGCCCGACTACGTGCATTTCAACTTCTGCCCGGCGCCGCCCCTCAAGTCGCACTTCCCAATGGCAGGCGATGATGCCCTCGACCTGCTCTCGCGCATGCTCACGTTTGACCCCAACAAGAGAATCACAGCCTCTCAGGCATTGCAGCACCGGTGAGTAACTAAAGTGTGCTCTCACAGAGTGCAGTGCATTCTGTGAAGTGCAGTCACCCCTCAAGTCGCACTTCCCCATGGCGGGAGATGATGCCCTCGACCTTCTGTCACGCATTCTCACCTTCGACCCCAGTAAGAGAATCACAGCCGCACAAGCCCTGCAGCACCGGTGAGTGCACACACACACACACACATATGCATGCTCATATAGGCTAGGCTTCTGCCCGGCGCCACCCCTCAAGTCACACTTTCCCATGGCTGGAGACGATGCTCTCTCGACCTGCTCTCGCGCATGCTCACCTTCGACCCCAACAAGCGCATCACTGCTGCGCAGGCCTTACAGCATTGGTGAGCAGTGCTGTCATGGATGTAAGGTGTGCTGTCGTGGATGTAAGGTGTGCTGTCGTGGATGTAAGGTGTGCTGTCGTGGATGTAAGGTGTGCTGTCGTGGATGTAAGGTGTGCTGTCGTGGATGTAAGGTGTGCTGTTATGTATGGTGTGCTGTTATGCTGTCGCCCCTCTAATCACACTTCCCCATGGCTGGAGATGGGCACACACACTCGCACACATGCATGCTCGTTTTGGCACACATGCATGCTCGTTTTGGCACACATGCATGCTCGTTTTGGCACACATGCATGCTCGTTTTGGCACACATGCATGCTCGTTTTGGCACACATGCATGCTCGTTTTGGCACACATGCATGCTCGTTTTGGCACACATGCATGCTCGTTTTGGCACACATGCATGCTCGTTTTGGCACACATGCATGCTCGTTTTGGCACACATGCATGCTCGTTTTGGCACACATGCATGCTCGTTTTGGCACACATGCATGCTCGTTTTGGCACACATGCATGCTCGTTTTGGCACACATGCATGCTCGTTTTGGCTCTGCTCTTGACCTGCTCTCACACGTGCTCTCATTCGACTCCAACAAGCGCATCACAGCTGCCCTGCAACACCGGTGAGCGAGTCTCTGGGCCTTCTAGGTTCCTCACCCTCCCTCTATTCCCTTACTTGTCTCTTTCCCTCACCATTCACACACTCCCTCAATTCTCTCTCTCTCTCATACCTGGCCCTCCTATCCCCCTTTCTCTCCTCCCCCACCCCACCAGTTTCCTTCTTTGTGCAAGCTCCAAGGCCCTGCCTCGCCCTCCCTCGCTTCCCATCGCTGTCACTTACACTCCCCTCGTCTCTCCCATGTCCCATCCCCCTACTCCCACCAGCTACTTCCTGCTGGGTCCGCCAGCCACCAAGCCCAAGGACCTACCTCGCCCGCCTCCAAAGCCCTCTGCCAGCGACTTCCCTCCCGGCTCCATCCCTGTCGGCCTGCCACCCATCGCCTCCGATGCAGCAGCAGCTGCTCTTGATGCTGCCAACGGTGCTACTGCTGGTGATGATGCGAGACGGGAAGGGACGGCTGGTGGGGCAGGAGCAGCAGCAGGTGGTGCTAATACAGGGCGTAGGCATCTCCCCCCTTCAGTAGAGTCACCCCACTATCCCCGCAACCTCTCACCTTCCACCAAGGCCGTTCGTATCTCCTTCCAACCAGGAATAGAAGAGAGTGAGGGGGGTGAGGGGAGAGGGAAGGCTGGGGAGATTGTTGGGGAGGGCAGGGATGGGAGAGGAGCAGTGGAGGGGAGTGGCGCGGAAGGGGAGACGCCGAGTGAGGTGACGATGGTTACAGCGGTTACCGGGGGAGGGGATGGAGGGCCCATGTCGGTTGATACGGTTGTGTTTCCTCCGGGGTCGGTTCTGCCACCCAGACCAAAACTGAACAGGTAAGGACTTTTCGCTTGATGTATGATCCAAGGAGTTTTTCTTTTTCTTTCTTATAACTGTTTGCGTTCATTGTGGTGCTCGATGCGCCACCAGATGGTGAGATCATCATTTATATAGTTTCTTTTCTTCCACTCACTGTTTGAATCCATTTTTACAGAGACGACAGGCTGGCTTTGCGCAAGCGTAAACTGAATGATGAGTTTGATACCGTTTAGAAACTGTTGGGCTAAACTTCCCTCAACAGAAACAGCAATTTTGATACCCGAGTGATCCCCATGCCTACCCCCACCCTTCCGAGCCTTTTTTAGCCCAAGGTCTCGCCTAGCTCGAGCTCACCCTGTTTCAGCTCTTTCTATTGTAATGTCTGTCACTTTGTGTTCGTACACAAATGCATTATTTCGTTCTTCTGTAAAACAGCACTCAAGTGTATGTATTTGCAATCTTGCAAGCCCACCTTGGAGATAGGGTCCAGCATAATGTCTATATCCAGTATTTGCCTTCTCTAAGCAAAATGCTGTCGTTGTGTGTCAGCAATGTGAAATTCGTAGTGCGAAATGCTGGCTGGGTGGCGAGTAAAGGCAGATCGCGCAATTATTTGCCTGAAGATGGATGGCTACGCGGCGCTTCTGGAAATTCGGGAATCCCAAGTTCCCAGCTCTTACCATTATTGTCAAAGCGCTTCGCCAGGGTAACCCGCAGGTATTCTCATTTCAGCTTTCGCTGTAAGACTGAGTGACGACCTTGTCGCAGCAGTTCCCTGAAAGTTCTCGTTCGCCAAGCACACGGCCTTGCGAGCTAATTCACGAAATCGCACGATTTGAATAGCGAGCAGGGGCGCCTGATAACCCAAGTTCCAGCTTTGCCAGGGTAACCTTCTGGAGTTTTGACTTCGACGTTCGCTATAACACTGGGTGGCGACCTCGCCATGGCCATTCCCCCACAGTTCTTGTTCGACAAAAGTGCACGAAAATCGCACCATCAAAACAGCCAGCAGAGCTAGTATGCAATGCGCCCCACAACATTCTTCGCAGCGCAATACCGCACCAATAATTTCACGCTTCGAAGCTCCTTACCTGACGCAATCAGCATCGCGCTGCTCACTCTCGCTGCATGTTTACGTTGAACGTCCTTGCAGTAATCGCACCAATAATCGCGCGATTCGAAGTTCTTAGCCGGCGCAATCACTATCCCACAAGCCGTGCGATGGGCCCCCATTATTGTGAGCTCGCGGCAGTATTTAGCTGCTCGCACGTCCGATCATCTCCATCAGCAGTAGCAATCGGTTCACGGTCACCAAGTGCAAATTCTCATACTGGTAACGCTGGTAGCCTTTTTGTTCGATATCATCACCCAACATGGCTGCGCTTCGACATTTCCTGGTGCTTCTTACGCTTCTAGTCACCGTGCACCTGCCCGGGGCCGTGAGGGCGGATCTCGTGATTCCCAGCCTCGCCTCATTTTTCAAGCATGGCCTGCTCGGATCGGGCCAGGCGCTTTCGGGAGACGTGCGCGAAGACACGAATGTGAGAGCGATCCGTTATAAGATGCGCACTCTCATGGAGGTAAACGATGAGTCGCCGCATGCGGGGACTGTTCGCGATATGGCGGCGGACGCCATGCTCTCCGCGCTGCAGGGGGAAGACGCGGATGCTGACGTGGCATCGGAGAATACGAGGAGGATGCTGAAGAGGGAGAAGGGAGAGAGGAAGGATGAGGGGCATGATTGGAAGGATGAGGGGAGGAGGGATGAGGGGAATAAGCGGAAGGATGAGGAGAATAAGAGGAAGGATGAGGAGAATAAGAGGAAGGATGAGGAGAATAAGAGGAAGGATGAGGAGAATAAGAGGAGGGATGAGGAGAATAAGCGGAAGGATGAGGTGAATAGGAGGAAGGTTGAGGAGAATGGGAGGAAGGACGAGGAGAATATGAGGAAGGACGAGGAGAATAGGAGGAAGGACGAGGAGAATAAGAGGAAGGACGAGGAGAATAAGAGGAAGGACGAGGAGAATAAGAGGAAGGATGAGGAGAATAAGAGGAAGGATGAGGAGAATAAGAGGAAGGATGAGGAGAATAAGAGGAAGGATGAGGAGGAGAATAAGAGGAAGGACGAGGAGAATAAGAGGAAGGACGAGGAGAATAAGAGGAAGGACGAGGAGAATAAGAGGAAGGACGAGGAGAATAAGAGGAAGGACGAGGAGAATAAGAGGAAGGACGAGGAGAATAAAAGGAAGGACGAGGAGAATAAGAGGAAGGACGAGGAGAATAAGAGGAAGGACGAGGAGAATAAGAGGAAGGATGAGGAGAATAAGAGGAAGGATGAGGAGAATAAGAGGAACTAGGGAATAAGAGAGAATACGAAAGGACCTAGGAGAAAAAGAGGGACGAGGGAAGGTTTCTGAGAAGGCGAAGGTGATGAAGCACGCGAAGGTGGCGGAGGCGAATAAGCTGCAGGCCAAGGCCAAGGCACTGCGCTGCTTGATAAGAGCAACAAGTGAAGGGCGAGGCAGGAGTACCAGGAAATTAGATGATAGGTGTATGTCCTTACAAATGCCCTGTCATTCTGGTTCCCGCTACCCTCTTCTGTTTGGTTCATTGCTGTAACTGCTCTTTAATAAATGGTTGATATAGTGAGTCAAATCTGTAACTGCTCTTTAATAAATGGTTGATATAGTGAGTCAAATATGTGCGTTTACAAACCTAATATGAATATAACAATCAACGAATCTGGTTTCAAGCATGGGTCTAGGTATATGTTTAATTTATTTAATAAAAGTTCGAATTTGTTGAGCTCTGCTTCCAGAGCAATATTTTTCAGGACACATAAAATTACGTACAAAAACTGTCAAATGTTAGCATTGATGCAAATACACCATGTATCGTATCGTCCAGCTTATCGAAAAACGCTTTCTGTACTCCAGTTTATGTGAAGGCTGGCTGCTTACACCAAGCCCCTTTAGCGGCGCACCGCGGCTCCGCATTACACCAAAGCCTGGATGGACTTCAGCGCTGGAGTGGTTACCAGCACTAGGGTTTTCCAAGACACACCCTCTGTTGGTGATCACTCTGTTGGTAAATAGAGCTTTTCTCCCATTGTCCGAAATCCAATGGATTGCTGAATCCTAGATCTTTGAGTGCTGGCCAGCTCAATTATTGCTCAATGGTTGCCGTCGCGTTGAACCTGACGGTTACGCCAGGAGTCGCTCGCCTGGGCGCCCGCGCGAGCAGCAGCGAAATATCGATTCCCCAAAAGCGCACTTATGTTTTTATCGTTAACCCTAAAGGTAGAAGTCGCACGCCAGCAGGCATCATCGTCACCTAGTAGGACTATAAGCTAATGGCGTTCGCTGCATTGCCGTGTCACATCTGCTGTGCGTTCAGCGCAATTTTGTGCGACTAAGTGGAAACGCGCGCACGCCCACGCCAAATCCGGGCAATTTTGTATATTACGATCATTCAAAGCTGCGTTACAGTCTGACGCGGTACATGTTAAGAGCGTGTCTTGACCCGGCGCCCGTCAGAGCCTGCACTTCCACAGAATTATTAGGATTTTGGCGCCCTTTGTCAAAAATCCTGTTTGGCAGCTGGCAGCGGCAGGACGTTCAAGCCTTGAAATGGGAGGGGATGTAGCCGCTAGTGCTTTCAAGTCGACTCAGAAGTCACCTTTGTTCATTCTCTTCTTGTCTGGCAGCTGGCAGCGGCAAGTCGTTTAAGAAATGGGAGGAGATGAAGCCGCTGCTGCAGACGTCGCTGGGGGAAGAGATTACTGTGAGACACGCGATAATTTGAGGGATTGTGCTTTGAACCTGTATTTTGCAACCATGCATGCGATAAGCATCATTTTCATCATCACATCTTCATCACCTACGTCCGTCTGTCTTTGCATGAGCAGGTGCGCGAAGCACTCACAGAGTACCCCTACCATGCTGCTGAGCTGGCAAGAGAGGTGAGCGACGTGGCAGGGAAGGTGGGTGAGCTGGCGACAAATCCGGATGAGCTGTCAAACAGAGACTACCACACCACCTTCCCCTGGTTACGTACGGCTGGTTGGTGATCGCTTTGAGTATTAAATGAGTTGACTTTTGAGTCGACTCAAAAGTCAACTCGGCTGGTTGGTGATCACTTTGAGTATTAGATGGCTGAATGCATTCGCCATGCTACCATGCACTTGTGGTGCTCCCATGCACTCGCTCCCCTCCCTTCTCACCTCCATTCTCCTCTCTCGTCGCTTCCTCTCCTCTCCTCTCTCTTTGTCCCCTCTCGTCTCCCTTGTCCACCTCTTGGAAATCTCTTCCTATTATCGTCGTTTTAATCACGCTCATCCTATCATTTTCCTTCCAACCAGGCCAATCCCTTACCGCCATCTTTCTACCACCCACCCTGCCTGCCTGCCCACAATCCTCCCTTCTGTGTTCTCATCTCACCTGCACATCTCACCCCCCACACATCTCCCCCCCCCCCCCCCCCCCCCACACATCTCACCACACCCACGAGCAGGCGGTGGAGCAGGGGGCAGAGAGGCGGTGGATGCAACAATGCAGTGTTCCGTTTGCCAGGTGCAGCATCTGCTTTCCTACACTCTTCCCCTTCTGTGTTCTTACCTTACCCCACGCTTCTCATCCCACCCCCCCATCTCACCTCTCCACGAGCAGGCGGTGGAGCAGGGGGCAGAGGCGGTGGTGGCTGTGGGGGGAGATGGCACACTGCACGAGGTGATGTGACCTTTTATACTGTCTGATACAACAGTACTGTGTGTACTGTATCCTGTACTGTACTTTGTGTGGGGTAGCACACTACACAAGGCACTGTACAGTACTTGACTGTGTATGGAGTCAGGTCAGTCACCATCTTTTGAGGTGATGTAACTATTCTCACACTTTCTGAGGCCATGTGACATTCAGAAAAGGCTGAAGAGGGAAGTGCAGTGCATACAGCAGTGTTGCTGTCTGTGCAAGCTGGCAGATTGTGGAAGAACGGGGATAAGGAGCATGTTTGGCAGAGGCTTTCAATACATTTGAAGAGTAGTTGATTGCAGCATTGATGCATTCGTTTGGTGCCAGTTCTGAAAGATCCGGGCACACGTCAACGCATTTCAGCTGGTTTGAGAAAACAAGAAGATATATTAGAAGTGTGGATGCTGTGCTGCAGTGCTTGATTGATCAGAAATGAATGCGGGTGGCATTTCAATAAAATCCAAGAGATGCCCTTAATTCAATCAGCTGCTTTGCTTGCCATCTTTCATTGCCCCTTAACCTGCCCGGTCAGCAGGTCGTGAACGGTTTTTTCTCCAACGGGCAGCCCGTGGTTCCTCGGGCAGCTGTTGCGCAGCAAGCGCTGCGGACTGGGGACGAGGTGCAGCTGTCAGAAGAGCTCAGGGAGCAGCAAGCAGCGGCGCACATGGAGCCTTCAAACGGTGACACCCAACGCGACAGCGAACGAAACGGCAGTGAACCGACTGAGGTTGCTTCCAGAAGACCAGCGCTGGGGGTATGCTGATGGACCATGGAGACAAGACAAGGTGGTGTGGTGTAGAGAGGACAGTCACTATGCAGTGCAGATGATCGTGCAACAGCATTGCATGGAGAACAACCTGATTGCGATGCTTCTTAAATTCATGCAAAGCCAATGTCACTGCCACAGCTCCATCCACCCGCTGCTCCTGAAAAAGGCTCTGGTGTTGTAAAGCCTTACCCTCTGGTTAGTCAGCACACAGCCTTGCATGCCTCACCACAACCCCTCCCACGTCCCTGTTTGCTCCTCATGCTCTCACTCATTCTTTGTCCATTTCACCGCTGCCATTCAACCCTCTCGATATTGTTGCCTGCAGGTCATGTTATACCTCTCGGCACCGAAACCAACAGCCATGAAGACTAGGCGAGCAGCAGCCTAAAAGATACTTGTAGCATTAACTGATGAAGGTGTGACTCGGAACCTGTCTCCAACCCAACCCTCTCCATCATTGTTGCCTGCAGGTCATTCCTCTCGGCACGGGCACTGACTTTGCTCGAACCTTTGGCTGGTCAGTTTTATTCCGCTCTGCACCCACCCAGCACTCACTCCCTTGTCGGAGATGCTCACAGCACAGACGTGTAATAGCCCATCTCTGTTCCGTCAGCCACAGCAACCCCTCAGCACTCATTTCCGTATCAAAGATGCTCACAGCACAGACGTGTATCAACCCATCTCTGTTCCGTCAGCCACAGCAACCCCTCAGCACTCATTTCCGTATCAAAGATGCTCACAGCACAGACGTGTATCAACCCATCTCTGTTCCGTCAACCACAGCAACCACCCAGCACTCATTTCCTTATCCTGTTCACAGCACAGGATTGCATCAGGCCACCTCTAGCTGGTCACGTCATCACTGCCCCACCCACCTAGCATTCACTCCCTTATCAAATAATCAAAGCTACTCCCTTATCAGAGCTGCTCACAGCAGCGAATTGTGTCAACAAACCTCTGCTGCTTATAGAGGAATAGGAGTGGGAGAGAAGGGAGGGATTGCGAGGTTGATGTTTATCGGTTGGTGTGGCCGTTGATGTGGCAACAGGAGGAGCAATGACGTGAAGGCTTCAGTGGCAAGAATAGTGCGAGGTACGGCGTTGCGGTGTGGCCTACGGTGCGATTTGGTGTGACGTGGTGTGGTGCAGTGTGGTGTGATGTGGTGCGACGTGGTGTGACGTGGTGTGACGTGGTGTGGTCTGGTCTGGTGTATAGTGGTGTGTGGTGTGGTGCTTGCTGTGTGGTGTGAGCTTGTATCATTTGGTGTTGTGTCTCATGCCGTATCATGCAATATTTCGAAGACACACTGTGTTTTAACGCAACGGCAGTGCGATATGCTATGGCTTGTAAGAATACTATATAAGAGCGATATGCCACAGGGTGCTTGAACGCCCCACGATGCTGTACGTACGTATTGGCGTTACTTTTGAGAACTCTCAAAAGTCACACCAGCGGAATGTGAGAGGGCGGGCATCTGTAGCGCGTTCTGCTGTGGCCCTCTTGCATCCTGCTTCCTTCCAACCAACCCTTCCCCCTTCCCCACCCCCCTGTGTCCCTCCCCCCAACAAACTAACGGCAGGGCAGCGCAGGGCAGTGGACGTGGGGCGAGTTCAGCTGCCTGCCTGCTGCTCTCTTCTCACCCCTCCTCCTCACCAACCCCCCTGGGTCCCTCCCTATGACCCAACCGCAGGGCAGCGCAGGGCAATGGACGTGGGGCGAGTTCAGCTGCCTGCCTGTGCCGTGGACCGCTGCTTCATCAACGTGGCTGATGTGCACCTGTGAGTGGATGGGTTGATGAGTGGGGGAGTGGGTGAGTGGATGAGTGGATGAGTGGGGGATGAGTGGCTGAGTGGCTGAGTGGCTGAGTGGCTGAGTGGGGGAGTGGCTGCGACTCTGTGCATCTGTGAGTGGATGGAGTGCGCGTGTGGGGCTAGCAGCAGTCTCTCTGAAGGCCCTGGGGCCTCTCTGTGCCACCCATCACGACCACACTCCACACCTCCAACTCTCCCCTCTCCCATTACTGCCTACCTCCAGGAGCGCACGTGTGGGGCGAGCAGCAGTTTCCTTGAAGGCCCTGGGGCCTCTCTGCTACGCTGTGGCGGCTTTTAAGGCGTTTCCTAAGCACCGGAACTTAGACCTAAGCATCAGGGTGAGCACTGTTGGTTGATCCCTGAGACGACTCAAGAGTTATCTCCTTCCCTCAGCACCGAAACTGAGACCTACTTTAAAATTGGGGTGAGCGTTGTTCTTTCAGAGCCTGGTCATATGCGGCTTGTATGCTCGAGCTTGCAACAGGGCAGGATAGCTTCTCAACTTCTCAGTCTCTCACCCTTTCTCTCACTCTCCCTTCCACCCTCCCTCCCACCCTCCCCTTCATCCTCTCACCCTCCCTTCCACCCTCCCTCCCACCCTCCCCTTCATCCTCTCACCCTCCCTTCCACCCTCCCTCCCACTCTTCCCTTCATCCTCTCACCCTACTTCTTTTCCCTCCTCTCAACTTCTCACCCCACATACTCTCTGCTTTTTAGGGTACGTTGTCAGGAACCTGATAACCTTCCAGCCTCAACCACAACTGTTCCAGGCAACCCCTCCCAACTGCTTCATCCTCTCACCCTCCCTTCCACCCTCCCTCCCACCCTCCCCTTCATCCTCTCACCCTCACTTCCACCCTCCCTCCCGCCCTCCCCTTCATCCTCTCACCCTCCCTTCCACCCTCCCTCCCACCCTCCCCTTCATCCTCTCACCCTCCCTTCCACCCTCCCTCCCACCCTTCCCTTCATCCTCTCACCCTACTTCTAATCCCTCCTCTCAACTTCTCGCCCCACATGCTCTCTCCTTTCTATGGTACATTTTCAGGCCCTGATAACCTTCCAGCCTCAACCACAACTGTTCCAGGCAACCCCTCCCAACTGCTTCATCCTCTCACCCTCACTTCCACCCTCCCTCCCACCCTCCCCTTCATCCTCTCACCCTCCCTTCCACCCTCCCTCCCACCCTTCCCTTCATCCTCTCACCCTACTTCTAATCCCTCCTCTCAACTTCTCGCCCCACATGCTCTCTCCTTTCTATGGTACATTTTCAGGCCCTGATAACCTTCCATCCTCAACCACAACTGTTCCAGGCAACCCCTCCCAACTGCTTCATCCTCTCACCCTCACTTCCACCCTCCCTCCCACCCTCCCCTTCATCCTCTCACCCTCCCTTCCACCCTCCCTCCCACCCTTCCCTTCATCCTCTCACCCTACTTCTAATCCCTCCTCTCAACTTCTCGCCCCACATGCTCTCTGCTTTCTATGGTACATTTTCAGGCCCTGATAACCTTCCAGTCTCAACCACAGCTGCTCCAGGCAACCCCTCCCAACTGCTTCATCCTTTCCCTTCTTCGTTCCTTTGCCCTTACCTTTCTTCCATTCTCTCTGCCCTGCACATACCACAGAGGCACAAAGGCTTCTGGGAAACCCTTCCAGCAGTCACCGGAAATCCGTTTGTCACCCACCCTCACTTCCCTCTCCTCCTCTTTCCTGTACGTTTTCTCAAACTGAGAAACAGGTAGAAAGCAGCAAGCTCGGTTCAGTTCAGACATTGCACAAAACATTGCTTGGCGCTTCACCTTCACTTCCCTCTCCTCCTGTTCCCTGTACATTTATCCCACAGAGGGACAGGGGTTCCTGGAGGCTGAAATCTCCTCACTCTTCCCCCCCCCTTCCTCCCAAACAGTCCTGGTGGCCCCTAGGAAACCTCCCGAACAGTCACATCACCACAACCCTCCCATCGCCCTTCTCCTTCCCTGTACCCACAGAGGGACAGCGGCCCCTGGGAGACCCTCCCAGCAGTCACCACAATCGCGGTGGGCAACGCTAGCCACTTCGCCCTTACTCACTCTTCCCTTCTGCCGCCCTCCCCTCCTTGTGTCTGCACACACACCCCACAGAGGGACAATGGCCCGTGAGAAACCCACTCAGCAGTCACCACGATCGCAGTGGGAAATGGCAGCTACTCTGGGGGAGGCATGAACAGCTCCCCTTCCCACCCCAACCGCACCCTCCTCTCCCATGCCGTCAGAGGGACAACGGCCCGTGGGAAACCCTTCCAGCAGTCACCACGATTGCAATCGGCAACGCCAATTACTACGGGGGAGGCATGAAGATCTGCCCACACGCGAGTCCCAGCTCAGGCTCTTTGGATGTGCGTTTGGGGGTGGGGGTTGGTGTGTTGGGGTTGGTGAGGTGGGGAGTGGGCAACGCCAATTACTACGGGGGAGGCATGAAGATCTGCCCACACGCGAGTCCCAGCTCAGGCTCTTTGGATGTGCGTTTTGGGTTGGGAGTTGGTGTGTTGGGGTTGGTGGGGACATTGGGGTGGGCAACAGCGCTAACTATCTGGGGGCAACGCCAATTACTACAGGGGAGGCATGAAGATCTGCCCACACGCGAGTCCCAGCTCAGGCTCTTTGGATGTGCGTTTTTAGGATCGGGGGCTGATGTGATGGCGATTGGGTGCTCAGGATTGGGGTGCTGAGGGTTGAGTGGCGTTGGGTTGGGGTGTAATGTGGCGCTTGCGTCGCAGGGAGTTTTTTTAGAATTCTAAAGAAAATACCCCAAACGGCATCTGACACTCTACATGTGCGCTGGGGAAGTTGGGGTTTGCTTGTGGTGGTCGGTCAGTGCCATGCCAACTACTTTGGGGGGAGGATGAATATTTGGCCGCATGGGAGTCCCAGCTCAGGATTCATTCCTGGATGTGCGGTTTGGGCTTTAAGGTGTCTCATCCAGCAGGTATTGCTTGCTTATGAGTCTACTCAGAGTCACCTGCTTGCAGGTCTCCCCTTCCTGTCTTGTGCACCTTGCGCAAACCATCTCAGGTCGTAACCATATCTGGCAACACTGTGCTGCATGGCTGCACACCTAAACCTCGCATATCTCTGCCTTATCTCATGCCTCCCCGCTTGGTTGCGTTACACAAACCATCTCAGGTCGTAACCATATCTGGCAACACTGTGCTGCATGGCTGCGCACATGTCTGTGTCTATGTGTGTGTTGCCTAACATGTGTCTCACTCTTGCGTGTGTTACCCATCCCACTCCAGTTGGTAGGTAACCATATCAGGCTACACTGTGCTATGTTTCATCCTCCTTCTCACACTGTCTTTCTCCCCTCATGCTCTCTTCACCCATCCCATCCCAGGTGGTAACAGTGTTCGGTTACACCGTGCTAGGATTCATCCTGCGGGGATTGCACCTGTCTGCATGCTTGTGGCCCTATTTGTGTGCCAATGCCTTCTGTATTGTTTTGTTAACCCGTCCCACTCCAGGTGGTAACCGTATGCGGTTACACGGTGCTTGGGTTCATCCTGCGGGGATTGCACCTGTTTTCCGGCACCCACTTGGGCTTCAAAGGCGTAGATAATTACAGGTGCAGTGGGAGAATGAGCGGTGCAGTGGGAGAATGAGAGGTGCAGTGGGAGAATGAGCGGTGCAGTGGGAGAATGAGGGGTGCAGTGGGAGAATGAGCGGTGCAGTGGGAGAATGAGCGGTGCAGTGGGAGAATGAGGGGTGCAGTGGGAGAATGAGCGGTGCAGTGGGAGAATGAGGGGTGCAGTGGGAGAATGAGGGGTGCAGTGGGAATGAGCGGTGCAGTGGGAGAATGAGCGTTGCAGTGGGAGAATGAGGGGTGCAGTGGGAATGAGCGGTGCATCGTGAGAATGAGGGGTGCAGTGGGAATGAGCGGTGCAGTGGGAGAATGAGCGTTGCAGTGGGAGAATGAGGGGTGCAGTGGGAATGAGCGGTGCATCGTGAGAATGAGCGGTGCAATGGGAGAATGAGAGGCGCAGTGGGAATGAGCGGTGCACTGAGAGAATAAGAGGTGCAGTGGGAGAATGAGGGGTGCAGTGGAAATGAACAGTGCAGTGGAAGAATGAGAGGTGCAGTGGGAGAATGAGGGGTGCAGTGGAAGAATGAGTAGTGCAATGTGAAGGTACAGGAATGCACGAAGACACAGAGGTACACTTATCATACATTAACAGGATAGCCATTCATGTACACCACACATCTGTGTTATTTCTGGTTAGTTTCGCCTGCAAAGTGTGGATATGTGATAGCACATGAACTAAGGCACTGCCCCGTTCACCATTCATGTACACCACACATCTGTGCTATTTCTGGTTAGTTTCACCTGCAAAGTGTATGTATATGATAGCACACATCTGCATCTGCATTCTGGTCTCATTTCCAATGCTGGTCATACTTCACCTCCCCTCCTGTTCATCCCAGTGCCGAGGTGATTGAAATGAAGGTGGCGGCAGCAGAGGGTGACAATAACGAGGCCAGCCAGGTGTATGTGGAAGGGGATGGGGAGGCACTGGGGCACCTGCCTGCAGTGTTCAGAGTACTCCCGGGCGCTATTGACCTCCTTGTTTAGCCCTTATCGTTGGACGAGTATGCTCTCTTGCGAATGGACTTTCAATGGATTGCGTAACAAGAGTTGCTTCTTGCACCCCCTCGAGCCAATTGCACGTCCGCCAGCTTCGTGCAAGTACCGTATGTAGGTAAGTAGTAACACTAATTACCAATGCTGCTTTGTGCCCTTCTTTGTCTTGCCAAAGAATGATGCAGCACAAAAGAAAGTAAACTACTCCTTTATGACTGGTATGCAGAAACAAGGATACATTCGACCCACAACTTTACGTGGCGGTGAACTGTTAAATTACCTAACCGTTGCAGAGTGCTTGGAAAACAGAACGTGTAAAAAAAACACATTGGTGTTGGTGGTTGCGGTAGGAATGTGCAATGTGTACACAGAATTCTGAAGGAAAATTTCCGTGTGACACTGTAACGAGGTGACGTTTGTAAAACTCACTAGTCCGTACGATGCACGTGCAATAATACTACAGCTGAGCCTTCCAGGTGAAGAGTCCTCGAGACCCTTCTGGGTAGACTCCATCACCTCAAGCCCGTCGCAGATTGAGCGGCGAGTGAGTTTGCGGGAACACGTTCTAGCGGCCAAACTTCGAGGGGCCGTGGAATGAAGTCGAAGGCGTCACTTCGACGTGACCGTTGCGAAGCCGAGGAGTAGGGGAGCAACCGCGTGGAGCCACCAGCTGCTGAGAACGCCTCGACAGGCGATTCGCGAAAAACGGGGCAGCGCGTTCGCGCGAATGAAGCCGAAGGCGCGGCTCCTGGGCCGCAGCGGCAGCAAGAAGCGGCTGGTCGTGCCACCGTCGCCGTCGCCGTCGCCGGCGGTTGCGGCGGACGGCGGGATGGACGAGGTGAAGGCGGAAGAGAGGCGGAAGGAGGCGGAGCGGGAGGAGGGGAGGGAGCGCGAGCGCGGGTTGCTGGGCGTGCGGCGCAACAAGGGCGCTGGCGCGCGGTCGTGGCTGCGGATCGACCAATCAGGACAGACGCAGGTGTGGGTCATTTGTAACGAGGGCTTGTGATTGTGTCGAACTGTATCAAGGGCGCCTCGAAAAAGAGCTGGCGTGAGGGCGTGGCGGTCTGAAATTCGTTCAGGCCGCACTGATGCCAGTGCCCTCCATCTCCCCTGTCGGTTATCTCCCCTTGCCGCCCATCTCCCCTTGCCGCCCATCTCCCCTTGCCGCCCATCTCCCCTTGCCGCCCATCTCCCCTTGCCGCCCATCTCCCCTTGCCGCCCATCTCCCCTTGCCGCCCATCTCCCCTTGCCGCCCATCTCCCCTTGCCGCCCGTCTCCCATCCCAGCTGCTCCATGTGTCTCTGCTCCATACATGGACCCTCCATTTCTGCATCTCCCCCCCACTTCCCCCCGCCCTTCTACCAGGTGATAGAGGCGGACAAGTACTCCATCATACGCCGCTTCATCTTGTCCCCTTTTTTTCTACGCTGCCCCCGTCTCCTCCTCCCCCAGGTGACAGAGGCGGACAAGTACGCCATCATGCGCCGCTGCTCCATCCCATACGAGTGTTGATTTGGACCCCACTCTCCACTTTCCGCTCCGCCCTACCCCCACGCCTCCCTTTCCCCCCCCCTTCCAGGTGATAGAGGCGGACAAGTACGCCATCATGCGCCGCTGCTCCATCCCAGCTGCTCCATGTGTGTTGACTTGACCCCTCTTCCCCTGCCCCCCTTCCCTCCCGCTCCGCCCGCCCCCCCCCCACCACCCCCCACTCACCCCTCCCTCTCAGGTGATAGAGGCGGACAAGTACGCCATCATGCGCCGCTGCTCCATGTGTGTGTAGGCTTCACCACCCGCCCCCCCCCCCTCCCCCCCCCCCTCAGGTGATAGAGGCGGACAAGTACGCAATCATGCGCCGCTGCGCCATCCCAGCGCGCGACCTCCGCATTCTCGACCCGCTGCTCTCCTACCCCTCCACGCTGCTGGGGCGTGAGCAAGCCATCGTGGTCAATCTGGAGCACATCAAGGTGAGTGAGGAGGGTTTGTTGGCGAACCTCCTTGAGCCCCTCTGTCCCGTGCCGAGACCTCCGCATTCTCGACCCGCTGCCCTCGATACTCCAACCAACCCCTCCACGCTGTAGGGGAGAGAGCGAGCCATTGTGGTCAACCTACCTACTGCACATCGAAGTGGGTGAGGTGACTTTTGAGTCGACTCAAAAGTCACCTCGCTGTTGGGGAGAGATCCAGCCATTGTGGTCAACCTACCTACTGCACATCGAAGTGGGTGAGGTGAGCTGAGCTTGCTTTCCCCCACTGTACCCCTCAGTGCTTTCCTCAGTTCTAATAATGGTAGAGTGGAGGAAGTGCTCCCGCTGGCAGAAGTTCATAATCCCACCCCGTGCCTCCTCCGGAGGCGTTCCCATCGCGCACGCTTCCTCTCCCTCCCCCACCCAGTGCATCATAATGGGGGAGGAGGTGCTGCTGCTCAGCCAGCTTCTCTGCCCTCCCCACCCCGCTTACACCACCTTCCATCCCCCCTACATTCGCTCTCACCCATATCCCATCCATTTCCGCTCACCCCTCAGTGCATGGTAATAACGAAGGAGGTGCTGCTGCTCAATCCATTTCCCTTGCCTCCCTTGCCGCACCCGCATATCCCCCAGGCTGTCCTCTTATCCCCTCCACCCCCGCCCGATCCCCGCCCACCTCCCTCCCCCCCCCCCCATTGCATAACAATGGCGGAGTACTGCTCAACTGCCTCCCCCGCCCTGCTCCCCCCACAACCCCCCAATCCCATCTCCACTGTACCCCATGCCCCCCCCCTCCTCCTCCTCCCCCAGTGCATAATAATGGCGGAGCAGGTGCTGCTTCTCAACTGGTTTCCCCCCCCCCTCCCTGCTCCCCGCATACCCCCTCTCCCGCCCATCCCCCCATCCCCCCATCCCCCATCCCCCCCTCTCCCTCCCCCCCCCCAGTGCATAATAATGGCGGAGGAGGTGCTGCTGCTCAACTGGCGCAACTTCCAGGTGGCGCGGGTGGTGGAGGAGCTCAAGGCGCGCCTGCCCCTCCATCTCAATGCTGCAGGCCAGCAGGTAGCAAGATAGTGCGATGAGGACAGCAGGTGGCAGGTGCGTGCATGTTTCCCTCCCATTGATCAGAATATCTTTGAGGGGCTTCCAGGTGGCGAGGGGGGTGGAGGAGCTCAAGGCGCGCCTGCCACTGCACCTCAATGCCGCGGGCCAGCAGGTAGGTAGCATAGCAAGCAAGTGTGGCAGGTACTACGACAAGGTACGTGCATGTTCCCCTCTCATTTCTCAGCACATCTTGTCACTTCCAGGTGGCGCGGGTGGTGGAGGAGTTGAAGGCACGCCTGCCGCTGCACGTGAGCGCCACAGGTCACCAGGCCAGGTGTGTGGTGAGGTGAGGGTAGCGGGTACAACATGCGCGCATGTTTTCGTCTCATTGCCGAGCACGCTTGTTTTCTTGGCACATCACATCACACGAGGCACATCACATCACACGAGGCACATCACATCACACGAGGCACGTCACATCACACGAGGCACATCACATCACACGAGGCACATCACATCACACGAGGCACATCACATCACACGAGGCACATCACATCACACGAGGCACATCACATCACACGAGGCACATCACATCACACGAGGCACATCACATCACACGAGGCACATCACATCACACGAGGCACATCACATCACACGAGGCACATCACATCACACGAGGCACATCACATCACACGAGGCACATCACATCACACGAGGCACATCACATCACACGAGGCACATCACATCACACGAGGCACATCACATCACACGAGGCACATCACATCACACGAGGCACATCACATCACACGAGGCACGTCACATCACACGAGGCACATCACATCACACGAGGCACGTCACATCACACGAGGCACATCACATCACACGAGGCACATCACATCACACGAGGCACATCACATCACACGAGGCACGTCACATCACACGAGGCACATCACATCACACGAGGCACGTCACATCACACGAGGCACGTCACATCACACGAGGCACGTCACATCACACGAGGCACATCACATCACACGAGGCACATCACATCACACGAGGCACATCACATCACACGAGGCACATCACATCACACGAGGCACATCACATCACACGAGGCACGTCACATCACACGAGGCACATCACATCACACGAGGCACGTCACATCACACGAGGCACATCACATCACACGAGGCACATCACATCACACGAGGCACATCACATCACACGAGGCACATCACATCACACGAGGCACGTCACATCACACGAGGCACATCACATCACACGAGGCACGTCACATCACACGAGGCACGTCACATCACACGAGGCACATCACATCACACGAGGCACATCACATCACACGAGGCACGTCACATCACACGAGGCACATCACATCACACGAGGCACGTCACATCACACGAGGCACATCACATCACACGAGGCACATCACATCACACGAGGCACATCACATCACACGAGGCACATCACATCACACGAGGCACATCACATCACACGAGGCACATCACATCACACGAGGCACGTCACATCACACGAGGCACATCACATCACACGAGGCACGTCACATCACACGAGGCACATCACATCACACGAGGCACATCACATCACACGAGGCACATCACATCACACGAGGCACGTCACATCACACGAGGCACATCACATCACACGAGGCACATCACATCACACGAGGCACGTCACATCACACGAGGCACATCACATCACACGAGGCACATCACATCACACGAGGCACATCACATCACACGAGGCACGTCACATCACACGAGGCACATCACATCACACGAGGCACGTCCTGAGCTCCTCCACCTGGACGTGGAGAGGGTGGTGGACGAGCTCAAGACACGCCTGCTGACTTTTGAGTCGACTCAAAAGTCAACTTGGCACATCACGTCACATCACACGAGGCACGCACGTTCTGAGCTTCTCCATCTGGACTGGACGTGGAGAGGGTGGCGGAGGAGCTCAAGATGCGCCTGCTGCTGCACTCGCATGCCGCAGGGCAGCAGGTCGGTGTGTGGTGAGGGTAGCATGTGTGGTGAGGGTAGCATGTGTGGTGAGGGTAGCATGTGTGGTGAGGGTAGCAGGTACTACAAGGTGTGGTGAGGGTAGCAGGTACTACAAGGTGTGGTGAGGGTAGCAGGTACTACAAGGTGTGGTGAGGGTAGCAGGTACTACAAGGTGTGGTGAGGGTAGCAGGTACTACAAGGTGTGGTGAGGGTAGCAGGTACTACAAGGTGTGGTGAGGGCGAGCATGTGTAGTGAGGGTAACACGCGACAGACACATCACTGGGCACTCCCAGGTAGCAAGGGTGGTGGAGGAATTGAAGGCGCGCCTGCCCCTCTATTTGAGCGCTGCAGCCTGCGGGCCACCAGGTGGGTGGTGATATCAGCAACTGGTGATATCAGCAACTGGTGATGTCAGCAACTGGTGATGTCAGCAACTGGTGATGTGAGCAGGTACATGCTTGGCTGGTTCACTCCCCCCCACACTACATTCCACCCCATCCCGCACCCCAGATTACTTTCAATCCTTGAAGCTTGCGCATGTGCCTGCGCATGTTCCTGCGCGTGTGGCTGCAGAGCAGCAAGAATCAAGATGCGCAGCAGCAAGAATCAAGATGCGCAGCAGCAAGAATCAAGATGCGCATCGTCAAGAATCAAGATGCGCATCGTCGAGAATCAAGATGCGCATCGTCAAGAATCAAGATGCGCATCGTCAAGAATCAAGATGCGCATCGGCGGAGCGACTCATTTTCCCATCGTCATCGCCATCATTTGTCCATTTCATTCTGTTTTCCGTGGTTCTGATTTTTCCACACACTCTCCGCCACACACCCTCCTCCCCACCATACATTTCCCCATTTCCCGGTTCTCTCAGGTGCTAGGGCAAGATGGCAGCGGTCTCTCCCCCTCCCACCTCATCCCCCCTCTCACTCTCTCCCCTCCAACAACTTCCCTTCCTGCTCCTGCTACCGTGCCTGCTGCTGGACCCATGTCAGCAACTGCCACACCAACAGCTGCCACATCAGCAACTGCCAACACAGCAGCTGCCACCTCAGCACCAGTCTCTGCCAGTGCTGCTGCAAGCATTCCTCTCCTTTCCTTTCCACCCCCTCCGCCCTCCGCTACTGCTGGAGCAGCCAACCTTGCTGCGGGAGCACCGCTCACAGCCACTGTTTCACAACCACCATCTTCAGCACCACCAACAACAGCAGTAGCAGCACCACCACCGCCAATAGCGCCAGCACCACCACCAGCAGCGCCAGCAGCAGCGGCGGCAGCAGCGGCGGCAGGAGCGACAGCCGGGGGGATGGAGGCGGCGGCGTTGGAGGCGGGGGGCATGGCATGGCGGGGCCCCAATGCGTTGCCCTTTGAGTTCCGCGCTCTGGAGGTCTGCCTGGAGTCTGCATGCGGTACCCTTGATGCTGAGGTGAGCCTCAGGGATGGTGTGAGGGCAGAGGTGTGGGTGGAAAGGAGTGGAATGGGTGTGCTGCTGTAACCGGGGCCCAACGCGCTGCCCTTTGAGTTCCGCGCTCTGGAGGTGTGCCTGGAGTCTGCTTGTGGGACCCTCGACGCTGAGGTGAGGGCTGCTGAGGGGAGTGGGTGTGTGCACTGGTGGGAGTGAGAGGGTTTGATTGAAAGGGAGGGAATGGGCTCACGGGCGTGGCAGGGCCCCAACCCAACGCGCTGCCCTTGAGTCCTGTGCACTGGAGGTCTGCCTGGAGTCTGCCTGGAGTCTGCCTGGAGTCTGCCTGGAGTCTGCCTGTGGGGCCCTCGACGCCGAGGTGAGGGCTGAAGGGGTGACTGGCGCAGGGGGTGCTGAGGTGAGGGGCGCTGAACGCTCGAGGTGTGCCTGGAGGCCGCTTGTGGTAAGCGTTGCCAAGGTAAGCGTTGCTGAGACGACTGTTGCTGGGGTTCAATGCGTTCCTCCTCGCCATTCCCTCGGCCTCTCCAGACCACCTGAGTGGAGCAGGAGCAGGAGGAGGGATATCCTGCACTGGACGAGTTGATCGCATCTTTCCCCCACTCGTGCACGGTGCACCCCTTTCACCGCCTTACTTCTCCCCTTCGCCGCCTTGGCCTCCAGACCACTCGAGTGGAGCAGGAAGCATAACCAGCACTAGACGAGCTCACGGCGTCATTCCCCCATTCGTGCACCCCTTTCTCCTCTCTCTCCCCCACTCTTCCCGCCAGACAACCCGAGTGGAGCAGGAGGCATACCCGGCACTGGACGAGCTAACGGCATCCGTGTCAACGCTCAACCTGGAGAGGGTGCGACAAATCAAGAGCCGCCTTGTCGTCATCTCCGGCCGCGTGCAGAAGGTGGGTGCTTGCAGGCTGCCGCTAAGGTGGGCTTGCAGGCTGCCGCTAAGGTGGGCTTGCAGGCTGCCGCTAAGGTGGGCTTGCAGGCTGCCGCTAAGGTGGGCTTGCAGGCTGCCACTAAGGTGGGCTTGCAGGCTGCCGCTAAGGTGGGCTTGCAGGCTGCCGCTAAGGTGGGCTTGCAGGCTGCCGCTAAGGTGGGCTTGCAGGCTGCCGCTAAGGTGGGCTTGCAGGCTGCCGCTAAGGTGGGCTTGCAGGCTGCGTGTGTGCCTGTGCAGAAGGTGGGGTTGTCCGGATGTGGTCTATCATTCAAAGAAGATGGATGCTCGTGTCAACGCTCAATCTTGAGAGGGTGCGGCAGATTAAGAGCCGCCTCGTTGTCATCTCCGGCCGTGTGCAGAAGGTGGGGCTGTGAGGGTGTGTGGTTGCACGAGGTGCGTGCACGAGGTGCGTGCTCGAGGTGCGTGCACGAGGTGCGTGCACGAGGTGCGTGCTCGAGGTGCGTGCACGAGGTGCGTGCTCGAGGTGCGTGCTCGAGGTGCGTGCACGAGCTGCGTGCACGAGGTGCGTGCTCGAGGTGCGCCTTTTCCTCCCTGCGTCCGCTGACTTTGCCCTCATCACTGGCAGCTTTGAAACAATCTACAACAGCTTCTGACGACATGGTGCTGCAGTGCCTCCCCTGACTTACCGTGTCCCCCGCTTTGTCGCCCCCCTTGCTTTACCCAATCTCATTTATCGGCAGGTTCGAGATGAGGTAGAGCAAGGTGCTAAACGATGATGAGAACATGGCTGAGATGTACCTCACACACAAGCTATTGCACCGCACCACACCGTGCGCCCCGTTTTTATGTGTCCTCTCTATGGACAGGTTCGACATGAGTTAGAGCAGTGGTTAGATGATGATGAGGACATGGACGGGATGTATCTCACACACAAGCTGCTGCACCTTTTCTTTCCGCTTTGCCGTGTCTCCCTCATTGACAGGTTTGAGATGAGCTGGAAGCGCTGCTAGACGACGACGAGGACATGGGCGAGATGTACCTTACATTACAGACAAGCTGCTTCTGCATTGTGTGCCCTGCTTTTCTGTGTCCCCGCTTTCATGTGTCCCCTTTATTAACAGGTTCGAGATGAGTTAGAGCAGTTGCTAGACGACGACGAGGACATGGACGAGATGTATCTCACAGACAAGCTGCTGCAGCAGCGGCAGGCGGCGGCAGAGCAGCAGCAGGAGGACGAGGAGATGCGCGAGGAGGAGGAGCGGCAGCGGCTCCTGCTGCTGCAGCAGCAGCATGTGCACGGAAGGGCAGGGGAAAACTTCAGTTTTGGCGTGCCTTCCCACTCTGGCTCCTCTGCCCGTGGAGGGAGAGGGGGAGGAGGAAGAGGCGGAGGGGTGGATGGGGTTTCTGAAAGGGAAGAGGATTGTCCGAGCTCTGGTAGTGCTTCTCCTCCTGACCTGGATAACATGCCCTCGGATGGAGATGGCTCGGAAGGCGCAGGTTCGGACGGTGCAGGTTCGGAAGGCATAGGTTCGGAAGGTGCAGGTTCGGAGGGTGCAGGCTCGGAAGGCATAGGTTCGGAAGGTGCAGGTTCGGAGGGTGCGGGTTCGGAGGGTACAGGTTCGGAGGGTGCAGGTTCGGAGGGTGCAGGTTCGGAGGGTGCAGGTTCGGAGGGTGCAGGGCCAGATGGACAGGAGCCACTACTGCTAGCGATCGGTCGGCATGGCCATGCAAGCTCAGCATCACCGCGCCACGCCTCTTCTTCCTCCCAGCATTCAAATCCAGCCGTCCATTCGTCCCTCTCTCACCTCTCTCCCAAAGGACCGTCCTCCAGCCTTCCTCACCTCCCCCATCTCTCCGTCCCTTCTGCCGGCGGCCGCTCACACCCTCATTCTCACTCGCACTCACACTCACACTCTCGCGGGCACTCACACTCACGCTCCCACGCACAGCACCCTGACCACCACCGGCATTCGACTCACTCCCTTCCGAGTGTTGCAGAGCATGGGACAGGGGTAGATGGGACAGGGGCGATTGGGTCGGAAGAGGGGAGTGACGGTAGAGGGAGTGGCAGTAAAGGGAGCAGAGGGAGTAGAGGCAGCCGCAGTCACAGCCACAGCCGCAGCCACAGCCGTGGGAGCGGCAAGAGCGGGAGCAGCAGGAGTGGGAGCAGCAGCAGCAGTAGTAGCAGTAGCAGCAGCAGCAGCAGCCGCAGCAGTGGGAGCAAGAAGTGGGATGTGGAGGAACTGGAAATGCTTCTAGAGGCCTATTTTGTGCAGATTGAAGGAACACTCAACAAGCTATCATCGGTATGTGTGGACAGTTAATCTCCCAAAAGTGTGATTTGAGTTGAGTGGGATGTGGAGGAGTTGGAGATGCTTCTAGAGGCATACTTTGTGCAGATTGAAGGAACACTCAACAAGCTATCATCGGTACGTGTGGATCTCTTATTTCCTATTGTTACGTGTACCATTTACCTGTTCTCTGTATGTGTTGAGGGGGGTGTGGAGGAGCTGGGGATGCTTTTAGAGGCGTATTTCGTGCAGATCGAAGGCACTGAGGCACGCTCCATAAGCTATCGTCGGTACGTGTATGGCTTATAACTCATGTGTGGTTGACTTATCATGTGGAGGAGCGGGAGATGCTTCTACTCTGTGCTGACCGAAGGCACTCTCAAGAAGCTTTCGCTGATACGCGTTGATGAGCTGGAGTACCGACCTCTGACCTGAAAGGGGGTAGGGATGCTGTTAGGTTTCTATGTGGATATGTAGATATCGCTGTGCGTGTGGATGAGCGGTTATTGTTTTTGCACGGAGTCACCATCTGCATGGCAAGTTAACCACATATTGAATTAGATGCCACTCCCATCTCACCGCAATTCCCATACTCCCTCCACAGTCCCCCTCTCCCTTCCACCATCCCCCTCTCCCTCCCATCATCCCCCCATCTTTCCCACCATCCGTTCCTCCCTACGTTTCCACATCTCCCATCCTCCAGCTGCTCCAGTATGTGGAGGACTACATTAACATCATACCTCTCCTTACCCCTCCGTACCCGTCTCTACCTCTTTCTACCATCCCCAGCTGCGGAAGCACGTGGAGGACACGGAGGACTACATCAACATCATGCTGACGGCTGCATGTGCCCACACATCTCTCGTACCCCTCATTACCCCTTTTCACCCCTCTGTACCTCTGTCTACTGTACTTTCACATCCCCAGCTGCGCGAGTACGTGGAGGACACGGAGGACTACATAAACATAATGCTGGACGAGAAGCAGAACAGCCTGCTGCAGATGAACGTGCTGCTCACCACCGCCACTCTCTTCATCTCCTTCTTCATCGTTGTCACGGGGGTGTTTGGGATGAACATCGACTGCTCATATTTCGACCCGGAGAACCCGGCCAATTATAGCGTGTTTTATTATGTTGTGATTGGGAGCACTGTAGCGTGCATCGCGTCGTTTATTTTGGCGGTGGTGTACATGCGCAGTAGAGGGCTCATTGTGCCGTCCGCGTGAGATGACTCAGGTGGTTGGACACCTTGGGTGAGACTTGTAGTTAGTGTTACAGGCTTGCAGTTGCAGATCAACAGGATTTTTGTCAACTGCTGATCGGTTGAACAACTCTGGGCTGTGTGGCAATCGACAAGAAATTGAATTTGAGTGAAACTTGTATCTTTGCTCTCTCAAGCTGCCTCCAACTCTGTCCCCATTTGTTGAAGCCTTGATGGTGAATGAATATTGGATGTGAGTACAGCTAGGCCTCGGGGGAACATGTTTTGGATAGGATTTTTTGTGTTTCAAATCTGACTATGTGTAAGGAAAATTCCTTTTCCTTACTTCGCGTCCCCGCTCAGCGCGTACACCACTGTAGCACCTCAGTCAGCACCGTTACCACTCGCAACCCTCGCATCGACAATCCTCCCGCCACCTTCGCACGTCGCACCCCGACCTCACGGCTCGGCGGGTAACCCGCGCTCCGGGCCTCCGCTTCGACATTTTCCCCAACCTCAGTCCCAGGCCCGTCGCGCGACAACCACAGTTCATTACCGTTACCACTGTAGTTTCGCTATATATTCTTCGCTCATTGGACTCTTGCTTCGATAGTGCAATTCTCGTTCGTTCACTCAATTGCACTCGTAACACTTGGTATTCTGAGCCTACGATCTCTTCTCAGACCGCACCCACACCTTCGTTTCCCCACTATCTCAATTTTTGGGGGGGGTAGACGTCTCTCAGCGACACAGCACCGCCGCTCGTAGTGCTCTCTCGTAAGCACGCACGGCCACGACAGAGGCTCTCGCTGAGCTCGCCCGACACCCCCGCCATGGCCGATTTGACGCTCGCGACATTGACGCAGGAACGGCTCGACCGTCTCATGCGTCAACTTGAGGATTCGGCCCTCGAAATCGCGACACTCACGGCGGAACGTGACTCCGCCCGCCAGCAATCCACGATGAATGCACCAGCTCCATCACAAGCACCCGCAAATGCACCTGCACAATCAGAAGAACCGATCGTCATCTCATCAGGCACACCGACGCCAAACGACAGCGTGGGACAACGCTCAGGCGCAGCCAGTGATGGCGCCGCTCAATCGATGCCTAGCATGGAGAGAAATCGGGCCGCGCCAAGCCCGCGTGGGCCTCGCGAAGCTCGTCGGCACGTGGAGTTTGCGGCAACAAGTGGCAACCACGACATCATGGCACCAATGCCACTCAAGCCGCAGCGCCCGCCCTGTTTCGATCCAAGCCAACGTGGAGGTCCGACGGTTCAGTCGTGGGTTTTCACGATGAACGTTTTTTTCGACGCGAATTACGTCGAGTCGGACGCAGCGAAGATTCGCTACGCTGTTTCGCTGCTGAGGGGCCCCGCCATGGACTGGTGGCGAGTCATCGTGACGTCGCCACGCGCCTACGAGCCACCGTCGCAAGAGGAAGGGCCCACGGGTCCAGCCGTCACCTGGAGTTCATTCTGTGAAACAGCCGAATACAGCACGTGGGATGCGTGGTGCGAAGGGCTTCGGGCGCGCTTCGAGCCGATCGCGGCTTCTATTTCAGCGCGTCAGAAACTGCGTACTTGGCGGCAGCTCGGGTCGGTTCAAGACTACACAAGTGGTTTTCTCGCATTATGCGAGCAAGTCGGCTACATGCACGAAGCGGAGCGGGTGGACCGTTAAGTCGGAGGGCTGAAGCCAGACATCTCGCACGAGATCATGCTACGCGGGCTCTCGAACTTCAACGAGATTCTCGCGCTCGCCGAGAAAATCGACATTTTGCGCCGTCCGAGACCGGGGTCCTACTACGGACATCGTCCTCGGGGACCAATCGAGCACGCCACCGTACACGCCGTTGCAACAAATGCAGCTACCGCACCGTTTAAGGCGCGCTGCTTTGCTTGCAATAGGCCGGGCCATCGCAAGAGTGAATGCCCAGAGGAGCTGAGGCGCCGCGGAGCAAAGCAGGGGAGGGAGTCTCCAAGGCAGGGAAACGCCAGCAGTCAGTAGGAATCGGGCCAACTACTGACGGGAGTGCCTGCTCGCCCAACCACACCGACCCTCACCGAGTCACAGTACCGATTCATGCTATCGATCGGGCTCGGACGAATAAGGAGGGTACAGCGACGGATTGCCCAGTACTGATACACGGGAAAATACAGGGAGCAGCAGTGAAGATTTTTATCGACGGAGGAGCAAGTCACAGTTTAGTTAATACCGCAACCGCCCGAAAACTGCAACTGACACTTAGCCGTTGTTTACCTGAGATAGACGTACGCTTAGTCGACGGCACGCCACTGGCCATACGGGAAAAGGTGGAGAGAGTCAAAGTCCCCTGCGGGGGGAATTTCGGATTTACACAGGAAATGCTCGCAACGACACTCGATGGGCACGACATTTTACTGGGACGTGATTGGCTGCGACGGTATAACCCGCGAATTGACTGGACGACGGGTAGCTGCACTGTGCGAAGTAGCGGTAACTGGGTCGAGCTACCTCGCTGGCAGTCGCCCGAGTCTTCAACGGTACACGTCAATGCCGTCACCATGAAACGGGCTGCCGCTGCTGGAGCTGACGTGTACGCAGTAGACATTGCAGTGGTAGAAGGAGCAGAGCAGCCGAACGATTTCAAGAAACTGCTGGCAGCAGTACCGCCCGAACTACAGGAACTGTTGAAACGATACCCCGGGATTTTTCCCGACGACTTACCAGAGGGGCTGCCACCTCAGCGAGCACATGACCACTGAATAGAATTAGAACCGGGGGCACAGCCAACTGTACAGCGCCAGTTCAGACTGACACCGCCCGAGCTCGACGAACTGAGGAAGCAGTTAGATTACCTGTTAGAGAAAAAATTCATCCGACCAAGCTCGTCACCGTTCGCCGCACCGATACTGTTCACACCGAAAAAAGACGGGGGTTTTCGCATGTGTATTGACTACAGAGCACTGAACAGGGTAACAGTCAAGTCGCGGTACCCCATTCCCCGCGCCGACGAACTGATCGACCAACTGCGAACAGCACGGGTTTTTTCGAAAATAGATTTACGGGGAGGTTACCATCAGATTAGGGTCGAACCATCGGACTGCGCCAAAACAACTTTCCGGACTAGGTACGGGTCATTCGAGTACACCGTGATGCCTTTCGGGCTGACCAACGCACCAGCGACATTTCAGATGACCATGAACGAGGCGTTTAGGCCACTTTTAGATAAATGCGTGATAGTTTACCTCGACAACATCCTCGTCTACAGTCGCGACAAGCAGCAACACTTAGCAGATCTGGAAGCAGTATTTAAGATTTTAGACGAGCATCGGCTACTGACAAAGGGTTCCAAGTGCGAGTTCCTTCAGGACAGGTTAGCGTTTTTGGGGCACGTTATTTCGGAGGCTGGAGTTGAAATCGACCCAAAGAAGCTGGACACGGTAAAAGCGTGGCACCCCCCGACGAACATCACGGAGCTGCAGAGCTTTTTGGGGTTCGTTAATTATGTGCGTCGGTTCATCCCCGATATGGCACGGTTAAATGCCCCACTAACGGATTTACTGCGGAAGGGGGTCGCTTTTACGTGGGGGGAGAAAGAGCATGCTGCCTTCTCTGCCCTGAAAAATGTTCTCTGTTCACCGCCCGTCCTGCGCATCGCCGATCCACACCGCCCATTCGAAGTAGTTACCGACGCAAGCGACATCGCCATCGGAGCCGTACTGCTACAGGACTTCGGCAACGGCCTACAACCCATCGCATACGAGTCACGAAAACTGCATCCGCCCGAAAAAAATTACCCGATACACGATCGCGAAATGCTTGCGATCGTGCACTCGTTCAAAGTGTGGCGCTGTTACTTGACCAGCGCAGACGTGACAGTACGGACAGACCATAAATCACTACAGTACCTTCGCGCACAGCCACACCTCAACCCACGACAGATTCGCTGGCTCGATTTTCTCGAGTCCAACTTTCACTACACGGTCACTTACAAAAAAGGAGCCTCGAACATCGCCGACGCACTGACCCGCCCCACTGCCCAGATCTACGCAATACTACTCGCGCAGACAAGCCCACTACTGACAGGCCTATTTACCCACGGGTACCAAACGGATCCATTCTTCACAGGAGGAAATTCGCAGCAGTTCGCAGCCGCAAGGGGAGTCTATTACGTAAAAGCCGGGACTGACCGCATTTGGGTGCCTGGGTATACACTCCTACGGGAATTACTGTTACAGGAGGCACACGACGGAGTTACCTCGGGGCATTTCGGAGTAGAAAAACACGGCAGCAGCTGCAGCGGTATTACTACTGGCCCGAAATGTTGACCGACGTACAACGACACGTGGCATCGTGTCCCACTTGCCAGCTCATGAAATCATCACGACAGCGGCCGGCGGGACAGTTGCAGCCGATACCACCCCCAGAGCGTGCTTGGCAACAGGTGACGATGGACTTCGTCACAGGGTTACCGGTCGGAGCGAGTGGGAACGACGCGATCCTGGTCGTCGTCGATCGACTGACGAAAATGGCACACTTCGCAGCATGCAAGAAATCAATCACAACCGAAGAAACAGCTCGCCTCTTCATCGCCACCATCGTTCGACTACACGGGATACCAGCAACAATCATCAGCGACCGCGACACGAAATTCACCAGCAACTTCTAGCGGAACCTGTGGCAGCAGTTCGGCACGCGACTACAGTTCAGTTCATCATACCACCCCGAAACCGACGGACAGACAGAACGGACAAATCAGACCATGGAACAGCTCATTCGGGCCACATGCGACGACCCGACCACGTGGGAACAGCAGCTGCCACTCATCGAATTCGCGTACAACAACTCGCCATCCGCCACGACCCAACAGTCACCATTTTACCTAAACTACGGACAAAACCCGACAGTACCCATGACCCCGAATCCCGACAACCCAGTGCCACGAGCACAACAGTTCGCCGAAATATTACAAGCAGCACGGACCCGGGCAGCAGACGCAATAAAAAAATCGAACATCATCGCTAAACGCAACGCCGAC